TTTGCATGAAGATACATGTCTATATAGTATATGGATTATGTTAGAAGTGTTATTATTTTAGATTTTTTCCCATTTTATTAATTTTACAATACGAAAATCGGGAAAGGAAAATTATTCTATGAATTTAATTTCGAAGAATATGATTATAATAAGACTATACCAAACAAAATGTAATCAAGAATGTACTGGTAACTATTCACAGTATTATTTATTTAAAACAAACCTACTTCCCAATAAGAATGCACTGTAATATTAACACTTCAGTATCTAATAAGATAATTTCATTCTTGCTTCTCTCTGCTTTGAATTTCATCCACTGTTAGTATTGTCCAGTGCTACTCCCTACATTGCAATTCTAGAAGCATTTAATGCTTCTAGAATTGCAGTTTGTGTCATCTTCTGCAGCATGCAAGTCATCATCGTTCAGTCTGAGTTACCATATACAATGATTTTCCAAAATTTTAAAATGGATTCATTCACATAGTTCGGTTTTTGTCATGCTAAGAAATACAAACTTTCGCTTACTACCTGCGAAGGCCATGCTGAACCTTTCCTATCTAAATTTTGGACTTTATGCGAGGCTAATACAAGAAATGATCCATTATATGGAAGCAAACACCAATTGATATTTACTCTACAATTTTGCCACGTCAGCTGTACAGTCATCTTCTCAAATTAATTATAGATGATTTGCGGCCTACGGAGTAGCAGAGATGACAGTAAGAATAGGAGAAATTCGAGTTAGAAAGAAGTAGAAATGAGATAACTTATTAAATCTCGTAATAACGTGGATTCTTATTGAAATATAGGTTTCTTTTAAAGAAATATAATTGTGATAGTTACTAGTAGTTTATCTATGATTGCTTTTCATTTATGTTCTTACTTCACTGCGTGTTACATTTTTCGCCTAATTTTCCCTCTCGGTTTCAGATGATAAAATTAGTAAAAAAAAATTGGGGAATAAGGACATCAAAAGCATTAGATACTCCCACTTTCTTGAAGCTGTTCACTATTGTTATTTCATCAATCATGGCCCATGAGCAAATTAGTTATTAAGACGAAAACTACAACTACATGAATGAATATTTTAAAATTTAGGGGAACTCATTGTATGAACGTATGAAGAAAGGCGAAAATTACGTAAATAATTAGAAAAATTTCAGAAACTTGTGCTGAAAAGAAAGCTAGGAGAAATATGTTACTAACACAGTACTTAGGGTTTGAGATTGTGGCATAAATCTGTAATATTGTTTTAGAAATTTAAATGTAATAGATCATTTAATATTTTTTCAATGCTAAAAGAATTTGTTCTGAAAATAAGTATACTGTATATTATATTTAACATCTACAATGGCTTCATTTATGAAAGAATTTGCATATTTTCTACTCTTATGTAGTAAACCTTCTCTAAGCTACCTGATTCCTGAAGATTTTAATCTTCCATAAAAGTGGGCATTCTAGAGAAGTTATGTCTACTAAGTTATCTTAGTTATTTTGTGAGAAATACAGGTTAATTTTAAGAAGTGATTGAGGCAGCTAGTCGTAATGAGACGGTTCACTGTAATTCAATTTTTTTAATAATTTAAGCTATTCTTACTACTTAAGATTAGTTATTATAAAGAAATGTAATTAAAAGTGTTACATAGCAAATGTTTAAAACATCTATTAAAATAAATTTTATAAACTTTTTAAGAGCATGATTTAATTCCACCCCCTAAGAGACATGCTTTACATGTGCAAAGAGGGAAGAATAATTCTTTCATTTTTCGATCTAGTCAAGAGACGAAATTTTATAAAATGCCATTTTTAATTCCTTTTTTTTCCCAAGATTTTGTACAAAAATTTATTGAAAAAAACAAATAATTATTCTGAATTATATAATAAATTTATTGTGAATTAAATAATAAATTATTCTGAATTGTATAATAAATTTATTGTGAATTAAATAATAAATTATTCCGAGTTGTATAATAAATTATTCCGAGTTATATAATAAATTATTATTATAAAAAAAATCTGAAAGGTTTCCGATTTTAAATTACGTCCAAATGAGCGCTTTTTTAGCATTTTGTGTGTTCTACATACTCAAACCATAAAACCCAGTTCAACAGCAATATCGCAAAATAATTTTAAAATGAGCATATCTTTAGAATTTCCAATATAGTCTCGCACGCTGGAGATACAAATCCCCCCCGTATAGTGCTCGCTTTGAAATTGTAGAGTTTGTTAATTAAAAATTCATTAAACTTATACAAAATATAAAACAGATAGTAAAACAATTTCTAAATTCCAAATTTGGGCTTTTAGATGACCACATTCGAGTGGAGGACTACGTGATTCAAAATTTGATATCTCTAGGTGTGTTTCTCTCATTGTTTTTTCACAGTGAGAGAAACATGCATACATTCATGCAGATTCTTCATTATTTAATTTCTTTAAATATAATATAGGGCGATAATATTTGGTGGCAACAGGTGGCGATCACTTTGGTAGCTGTAAATAAGGTCAAAGAGGATCTTAGGGCAACCCATGTCCTGTAATCTCGAGTACGTCGGGCCACCATAACGAATCGAAGGCGCCCTGTATGTCTGCAAAGATAATGAGACTGTACTGGTTATTTCTTCTGTTATTTGCTATTATTTTTCGTTTAAGTGTTACAGCGCGTGATCCACCAATCTGCCAGGGATGAAACCGTATTGTTTTTCACTTATACTTTGTCCAGATAGGATATAGTGTTTAAGTTTTCGCAGGTCGACTCTCTCTAGTACTTTACCCAAGGCAGGCAGGAGGCAAACAGGCAGATAAGACGTTGGTACATTAGGGTCTTTGTTCGCTTTAAGGAAGAGCACCACCTCACCAAGTTTCGTGCCGGCTGAGAAATGTCAATTGCGCCAACACGCAGTTATGTAGGCGTACAGTAACACCGGATGCGTAAGGTTTGGTACCGAAAGTTCAAAAAGAAGAACTGTGGCATTCAAGAAGCAGAGAGCTCCGGCTGGCCTTCTGATGTTGACAAGGTCCACCTGCGAGAACTTGTGGAAGATCAGTATGAAACCACTCGAGAGCTTGCTAAGGAGTTGGATGTTTGTGCCATGTCTATTAGTCGCGCTATGCATCGCATAAACGTGACGTACAAGTTCAGTCGCTGAGTGCCACATGAGCTAACTCAAGCAGATAAGAACAGACGTGTTCGGGCCTGCACTAATCTGCTCGAATATCAACGCAAAGACAAAATTTTGGATTGGAGCATCACTTCAGCGACGCAAAGCGCGATTTGGCTAACAAAAAGATCATGCTTTGCATCTGGCGGGACTGCCGTGCTATTATCCACAAACAGTATCTGCAAAAATGTAAAACCCTCGACAGTAAAGTGTACAGCGAAATGCTAATCCGTGAAGACGTATTAAGGAAAACCGTCGAAATGAGTTCCGACGCAAAAGGATAATGTTCCATCAAGATGATGCAAAACCGCATGTGTCTGCATTCACCGGCTGGACTCTGTACGAATTCGAATAGGATGTTTTATCACAAACGCACTTATAACCCGACATCACTCCTTCGGACTTATACCTTTTTTCACATCTGCAGCTACATCTTGCTGATGCTATCTTCCATCTGCACAGAGCGTCCGAAATGAGGTTGATCTGTTTGTGTACTGGCGGCCACCAAGTTTCCGAGCCGTAAGGCTTTGAAAAACTACCAAAACGTTGTCATAAAAATCATAGATTTGGGTGCTGATTACCAACCGCACTAAAGGTACTGCTTTCATTTTTTTTTCCCCTAACTTTATTAAGAAATTTTTTGGCTGAAAACTTTCGTTAGATAGTTCTTTATCTACGCGCAAGTTCAGTAATAATAATAACTTTTCAAACGAATCAATGAAGCTTAAGGAACATTTGACAAAACCCCATAGAAACAAAACAGATTAAGATTTAACCATTTTCTTTTTTCTAAAAACAGACAAAAAAAAAAAAAAAAATTTGAAAACACCGTTATTGCAACATCTGAGCAAGATGACAATAGATTGAGTGCTTCTTATAGCATTTCTTTACTGATTGCAAAGTCGGAAATCTACCCACCATTGGAGAAAAACTTATTCTACCAGCTATAAATGAGGTAATACGCACAGCAGTGCATAAACCAGCTTTCTGTATTATAAAGACTGCTATCACACATCCAATCATTTCGGAAGAACAACTGTTGCAAACAATTTTTCTACTTGCTTTACCACTGAATGAAAGACCCCGATTGTTGTTTTTCCTTCGCAAAAAATTGCAAATTGTTTGCTTTCAACAATCAACCAACTGTTAAAATCGAATGCCCCAAAATCAACAGTCATGCTTAATGGATACTTTTGCTATTATTCTGACATGAAGCGGGGAATTTCTATCCCTGCTCTTTCCAGATTCCTGAGATAATCCCAAATTGGGCCTGACGTCTGAGAAAGGTCCGTAAATAATTTTCTCCATATGAGGTTTAGGCTGAGGTGGAAGAAACTTTGAAGCCCTTTGCTTCCTGCGAGAAAATGTCAGGTCTGGATGGAACTGTAGAAGGGTCTGTGGTCAGGCCTTAGTGTCTGATCACGTGGCCTAAAGAAGCTAATCCAATGTCATGAAGGGCGTGGCTTGCCAACTACTGCACTATTGGCTGTTCTAAATGGTGACAAAGCAAAAAAATTGAACTAAACATTTGTTCTTCCAAAGTGTTTTGAATCTGTGATACGATAAGAAGGGGTCCATGAGCATAGTAATTTTGGGAATCACTGGTTTAAACCTAGATTATTAGATAGGAAGGGGATACGAAACATACTAGTTCATAATATAAGGAATTAATATATAAAATATTCCATCATCACTTTAATTAATTTACTTTATTTAATTCAAAATTTAATATTCTTTAGAGCAGCTTTGCGTATAAGAAGTGTGCGTGAAAATTGATTATGTGAAATTAACTGGATATGAAGACAGACTATCATTCGCAAAATTGAAATAAAGAAAACATTGTTATATATTTTATTAATTTTATTCTGAAAAATATGTTCATTTACATGTGATAAATATTCTTTACATTCTCCCTTGATGAACATTATTGCTAAGGGAGGACAGATGATTATAACAATAGAAAAAAGTTTTGGCAGTACAAAAGTGAATCAAATATAATAGCAGATTTGGCTTCACTTCACACCACTTCGTACACTATATAAACTCAATAGCTGCAAAGCTATTCATAATTAATTCTAACACATTTGTATATAAAGTTTATTAACCCAAACAATACCCAAAAACTTAGTCATGTACTTAACATCCTGTCATTAAAAGTTATTCACAGAATACACATAAAGTTACACAAAATTGCCAAAAATAACAAAAAATTTAAATTCTTGCTTTGAGGTTTTTAACATAAAATAAATTTATATAAATCTAATTTCAACCTGGTAATTTTAACATTGCAGTCAGAAGATTTAATCACAAATTTTTCCATGCAATAAGCAAACTCTGAAGTATTTATTTTAATCATGCAAACATAGAATTCAAAAATCAAGATAAAAATGGAATTTATATGATAAATTTCACTACGAAATGACATATGAGAATTTTCTAAATAAGAGATAAATTGCCGATGTCAATAGTTATTTATTTTAACAAAAATCAAATGAAATTCCTATCAAATGTGAGTAAATTTCATGTAAATCCGAACTAAGATACTTCTATAAAACCAGCTTTTATTTCTTCAGTTACTGTGCTTCAGAAATTTACACAACTGATTAACAAAGCAATTTATCGCACTTATAAATTTCTAATTTTTTAAAAAATTGCTATTAATGATAATTATTAAACAGAAACTGCGTAAATGTGCAGCATAAACAATAATAAATAAGCTGCACCGGTGTTTTTTAAAGGAAATGAAATTAAATTATCAGCTTCAGTGCACAAGCATTCAAATTTAATTTTTACATAATAATAAATAATTTTGTAAATACAACTTTCTGAAATATATGAACAAGCAGATTTCTGTTCATGCCACGTTATTATACACCTACCTGAAAAACTAAAATAATGGTAGTTACTACCCTTTCCTCTGAAAAGACTAAAAAAATTCGTTCCATTAGTTTTCATGGATGAGTGTGAAATCTATACAATTCATAAATTTCATTCAAATATATTGTAAATTGACAAATTACAGATACTTCCATAAAATACATACTTCCAGTACTTCTGTCAAATTTAATTTTCCTATACTGAAAAAACAAGCAATATTACTTTTACAATTTAAATTACACATGCACTGCTCTATAAATAAATGTGCAGATTTATGCATTTTCTTATTATTATCTTTCTTAATACAAAACTTGCACACAAAAGCATTCCATTACAAAAGCATTTAGCACAATTTAACTCATCTCAAGCAGTGTACAAATGAGCAGGATTTTTAGAGATTTATTTTTAAAAAACTATAAATTTTCATTCAGAAAGATATTTTCTCAGTTCTACCTAGATGGCGTTTTAACTCTGTATGGAACAGCACTCGCCCTCGCCCCCCCCAAAAAAAAGAAAAAAAAAACACATAATCGAACACCAGCAAAATAAAAACAATAAATACGTATAAAAAAAGGGATAAAAAATCAATACATACACACATTAAAAAAAATCCTAAAATATTTTTTTAATGAATTCTGTGTTAAGAGAAATCTAAAGCACATAGGAACATTTAACACTGATATGTTTGCAGGAAGTACGCACAATTTTAACAACCAGGTGGGGAACAATAAGATACAAAGAACATGTTTTATCACAGTAAAGTGTCAATGTTCCATTCTTAATTAACAATAACGATTTTGCGTATAACTTGCAAAAATAGACCATACCAAACACTGGCAAAATATATTTTATAACTAAAATTAATCTGTACATTTTGGGTAGTTTAAAGTTTGTAGCTAGAATATATAGTACCCATTCCTTCAATCCATAAGAAATTAAAGTTTTCAATTTACATCAAAACTGCTTTTCGTTCTGAACAGGTTTAATCGCTTATTAAAATGCATTTCAGTTTGGCACATAATATAGCATAACCTTAATTACAAAAATTTACAGAACAAATAACTTAATACACCTGAATGCAAGATTTATATTACTTTATTTTGCATAAATCTGCCATTTTCAACTGATTCTTCATTTTGTTAAGAGCAAGTTATAAATTAAAGTTACTAAAAGCAAAATTCGGACCCAAAACTTAAAGTGAAGGAAGAAAACAAGCAGCATATTTCATTTTTCAAAAATTTATAACAGAATATGAAACAAATTGTTTTTCCTATTAAAAATGGCTTAATGGCTTTATATAAATATTTATAATACTGATCAAATTCTGAAAAATTAATTTGCTTTTCGTACTATTTTGACATTTTTCTGGTACCTGAGATGAAGCACTATTAAGCAAAAGCACATGAAGCAACCGGTACAGTGGCAAGAAACGTGACGTAAATTTTCTTTGACTAGGATAAAGTACTAAATAGTGTTTTTTAATGTGAAATAAGACTTCACAGTATTTAATCCCAAAAATCAGATGGATTAACAGAGACATAAATGGTAGCCAAAACAAAATACTGCCCAAAATGCAAACCGCCCAAAATAGATGTCGTAAAACACTGTGCATAATATATTCATACATGGACTGGAATGCGCTCTGAAGACAAAGTATCACGCAATATGAAGCATCTTTTTAAGTTCAACTATCAAATGCCAGTCAGAGGAATCCAAATCATCGCGAAAATGTTCCTTACAAATATCGATTGACTGTCGTGTAATGCGGCTAACTAACAGATGCTCGTGATCAAAATGCTTACCATACACCTTGGGGGAATCATTGGATTTCGATTCTATTTTAATACAAACTTCTTCACCTCGTTTGGCACAGTCTACAATTTTGTTATTGACTTCAATTGTAGACACCGTTCCTATTTCTAAATTATCTTTTGCCGGAACGCAAAGTGGAGTACCTTCTCTCAAAGTTCCTGCTTCAACAGAAACTCCAAGAACTATTGGATCTTTCACACTGAATATAAAGTGAGGCAATACTTTTAACTTACAAGGGTATACAGCAAGACGTTTTATTTCCTCTCGTTTTCGCATCTGCAACTCTTCTCTATATTTCATGTATTTATCACATAAATGATAAATGATGTCAGCATGAAAAATCTGGACACCAAGACTATCAGCTAGTTCTTGAGCATCCCGCTCAATTTTGACATCAAAGGCGAGTATTACTGCATACTGACTATCATGTTCAAGCATTATAGAGGCCTTCATGACATCCTTTTTAACCACAGGACCTATTTTTACTCCGAAGTAAGGTACATCTGATACACTGAGGTATTCCAGAAGTGCTTCTAAAGAACCCAAAGTAGATGCTTGAACATACACCCCTCTTTCTGAAGTTTTGATAGAATTTATTCTGTCTCGGAATAAATAATTTATTTCTTCTTTTAAAATATCTATTTTATTATGATTTTGAGCTACAAATAACGGTAAGCCAGCGACTGCTTTATCTAAATCCTTTCCTGTAATTTTCACACCTTGAGCCCCTTCTATGGTTTTGTATTCGATATAAGGATTTTTCACTCTCAATTCTCTTAGAGGCTGAGGCATCAAAAGTGATCGTATTTGAGTTACAACTGGTCCATCATGCCCTGCAAGGACAATTGTATCACCTTCTTGGAGATGACCATTAACCAAGATAACATCAATTGTTGTCCCTAAACCTGAAATAGCTTTCACCTCCAGTACAGTCGCTTTCAATTCTTCAGAAAATATTAATTTTTTAAACATCAGTGTCTGAGTCAATTTCGCTACGAGACTTAAAACATTACCCATGCCATCACCAGTGATAGCAGAAGTAGGTATCATAGAGACAAAGGATCGAGGATCCTTGTTTTCATAAAATAAAGCAGCATTTAAGCATTCATTTGCGAACTGAAGAATAATTTCTTGACATCTTTTCCTAATCTCCATTTGAACACATTGAGTTTGACTTTTAATGACATTCTCAATGTCATCATTTTTAACACTTTTCCAGCCATAAATTCTATCAATCTTATTCAATGCTACAACAAATGGTGTCTTTCCATTTTTCAAAAGATTAATAGATTCAAGTGTTTGAGCTTCTAACCCATGCATAATGTCCACAACTAAAATAGCTATATCACAGATAGAAGATCCTCTTGAACGTAAATTGCTGAATGATTCATGACCTGGAGTATCGATTACTAATAGACCAGGAATTTTCAGTTCAAAAGACTGAAAATCTTTTACCATTTTACATTTCTCTTTTATAGCATCATGAGGAATCATCGTAGCACCAATCTGCTGAGTTATTCCACCAGCTTCGGCATCTTGAACATGAGTTTTCCTAATATAGTCCAATATTTTAGTCTTACCTGTATCAACATGACCTAATACACAGACGACTGGAGATCGTAATTTTACTTCGTTTCGAGTCCCTTCACACTCCACAGTGCATGTTTGTGATTTAGTACCTGAATTCAAATCTATTTTGATATTTCCTAAACTTGCAAGTGGAGTTTTTAACTTTATATTGCGAAGATCTTGCGTTATCGCACAGTTGCTGGGAGGACAATTTTCTTCAGAATCAAATTCGTCAGAGCAACTAAGACGGCATTCTTCTGATTCAGTAGTTAAAACAGCTTCAGCGGGTAATGAATCCCAAGAAGTTTGGGAATCATAACTACTAGGAAGATCACTTTCTTTTCCATAAGATTCTTGAGACGATAAAGATTCGGACTTTTGTCTTTCTGACTTAGCTTGAGAAATTTGGCTATCACTACTTTGGCTTGATTGAGTAGAGTCCACTCTTTTCCTTGTAGGTTTATAATTTCCCTAGTCGAGGGCCATGAGGTTTCTTTTCACCTACCTCAGGTATATTTATACCTTGCTGTCTCAGAGCTGCAAGAGTTGCTTCCATTCGAGCCCGTGACTGTTTCTGAGATTTCGATAACAATCTGCCCTCAGCTTTCAATTTTTCCCTTCGCTGCTTTTCCTTTAACTTCTTTTTTTCTTTCCTTTCCTGTTCTAATCGTATTTTTTCTTGTTTTAATTTTTCAGCTTCTTCTGCAGCTTTCTGTCGGGCTTCTTCTGCTTTTTTCAGCCTTTCCTCTTCCTCTTTTGCCTTTTTTAAAGCTTCTTGAATAGCAGCCAATTGTTTTTTGCTAGGGCGTTTCCTGTCTTTCTTTTCAGTTTCTCGTAGCTTATTCTTTTCATTTGCTTCTTCTACAGTAAGTGCATCTGATACATCTGTATCTTGTGTGGAACAGTCTACTTTTACTACAGTATCGGAACATTCGCATATTTTTTTCGAAGTATTTGTTTCCCATTTTTCCAGCCTCTCCTGTTTTTCTCTAATTTTTCTGTCTTTTTTCTTTTGGGAAGTTGTTTTGATTGAATGTTCATCTTGCACAGTGAAGTCTTGCCCAGTACTGACATCTTCATTAGCGATCTGATTTTTTCTTTCAACAGTTTCAGAACTTTCAAGTTTTTCATGACACAGGCATGCATTAGTATCAAGTGCAGTTACTGCTGAAAATACATTTATTGAGCTTAGTTCTTGCTCTTTTAAAATTTTAGAATCTTCTGCAGCTTCAGAATCTCTTGTGTCCTTAACTACATTTGGAATAAAACTGGTTTGCAAAGCACTGTCAGCAAAATTTGTATTTCGATTGCAAGCTTTAGCTTTTCCACTTCCCGCACTACTACACTCTAATTCTAACAACAGTGCTTCTATATCATCATCAACACCTTTTTTCTTCTTGCGCTCCTTACGCTTTGTCTTTTTAAGAGACTTTGAATGATTAGCATCCAATACAGAAATGAAACTATTTGAATCAGCGTCATCAGGATAATGCACATCTTTGTCATCTTCTGATAGCTCATTAGCAAAGCTTTCTTCTGGAGATTCATTGGACCTTAAAAGTTCAAACCCAGTCTTTGCATTACCTAATTCAAATAATACATCGTCATAATTAAAACAAAAAGTGTCCATTTGAGATGCACCATCCTGCAGATTATTGCTATCTTTTACTTCATCAGATGATACACAATGCTTAGTTTTATCATCATCTATCAACTGGGTTACCTCACATAAACCATTGACAGAATTAAGGTCATTTGCGGTTATGTTCACTGTGTCCCCTTCTCCAAGACTGAAGCCAGGAATCTCCTCAACATTCCTGCATGTATCCTGCTTAGATCTTGTCCAGAAGCTTGTATGGTGTCCAGTTTTCCTTCCATTGCTGGGCAAAGAGTTAGCTTCATCATTTAAAATAATTTTGCCTGAATTTGATCGTGATCTTGGCGAACGGCGTGTATTACCCTGATCTTCAGATCTTCGAGAATTTTTCTTCTTTTGAACTAAACAGAAATTGTCGGAAGTAAGAAAACCCACAGGAATTTCTTCACTGCAAACATCTTCATCCTCTGACCCAGATTTTCGCAGGCCTTGGTTCACAATTTGCTGGGGCTTTCTATTTTTTCCCATCGGGGATGACGTCTCATACGTTGAAAATCTGTAATAAAGAAAACAGTAATCTGTTAAGAAAATCTGTAATAAAGTCAAATAAGTACAAAATCAATCGTCCGGCATTTACATAAAAATTATTTCTGTAATAAAACCATCAATTACCTTATAATAATAAATGAGAAAAATACATTTTATAAAAAAGGCTACTGATTCAGAGCTTAAAACGAAAATGTCCTCCTCTCAAAAAACAAACTGTACTTTTATTTTATTGTTTTGCTTACAGTTATTTTTTAAAGTTTTGTTGGAAGGAAAGAATGGCACGAAGCACACAACACGTCTTTCGATTTGCACGCCCGAATTACGGAAGACATAGATTTGTCAGTGAAGTTTTCGTGCATATGGAAAAGGATTTTTTTTAACCAATTTTAAGTTTTATTTACTAAATATGTGTCAAAATGTACATAAACAATAAAATTAATGAAGCAAAAGAAAAAATTCCGATTTATACGTATTTTCCATCTTAAATTTTAAGGTTGGTAAACTGAAAGAAACTTCTGTTGCATATACTTTGTAATTCAAATGCACTGAAACCTAAATATTACATTTTCAAACAGACATTTATTTCAAGTAATTCTAACATAGTGAATTAGTCATTACATAACTTACGGAAACTTTTCAAACGAAACAAAATTTGAGAATAAATAGTGACAACCAATTATCTTTCTTTTATCTGTTAAATCTGTTTGATGGTAGCATCTCATTTCATGCTTTCCCAGTTTGTACTTTTGTAAAAATCGTGCCATTTCAGCCCTTTTCTGCAGGGTCAATATTAAGTCCAAAAATGTGACCGAAAGCCATGTGATTGAGAAATATTTACTAAATAACCGTCTTAGTGGCGTTCTGCCCTCTTAAACTTCGTACTTAAACAATACTTAGATATACCATTAATGTGATGTAGTGGTGATATGGCAGTACAGTAAACATGATTTTAACTTGATCACAATTCACTCCTGTTAGTTTGAGATATGACCATGTCGATTTCTAAGCAATAATAACGGCTAAAATATTTTTCTTTCAAGCTGTCTACACCAGTGTAGATAGCTTGAAAGTCACTGACACAGACAGCTTGACACTGTGGTCTACACCATAAACACATTAATATTGGATACATGTGTCGTTCTTCTTCACCGCTCCTTTTCCAACAGATTGTACATAAGACAGATCGAGTACTAGATCATATTTCGCAAAAGGCACAATGTTTTTTAAATCTATGAATAATTCATGATTTTGAATGCAATTTAAAAATTACAATGACAATTTCTGAACTGTGAAACATACTCACAAAAACGGAGATTTTTTTATTTTACATAAAAATAATCACAGAAAGAATAGTCAATCTTGCTGCTTCCCATAGTTAATATTTATATTCCTATTACGATGAAAGCAAGAGAATTTATTTTATTGAATCTCAACAGAAAAGAAAAAAATCTGATGTGAACACTACAACTTCCTTGTACGGCATCTTAAATACACGTTTTTTTGTTGCCCTCCATTTAAACTTATTTCTTCGAATTGCTCTAACTTTATTTTTGAAAACCTTTACCTCTTAAAAATGTTTTTGACAGCCTGGTAGAAATTCCAAAATTATTTCTTACTAACATGAAATTTGGCGATCCCTGATCCATATCTTTGGTACTGCGGATTGCAATAAAAAAACGGATGTTCACAAAAATTCCATGTAGAAAATATCAATGTTCTACTACTACTATCAATGTACTACTCTTGAGTTATGCGAGATAAATATATACGTACGTATAGATGTCATGAAGAAATACCTTTTAAATCCATTTTACGATCCGTTTTGGATATCCATATACACAGATGTCACACAAAAAATAGTCAAAATGGATATTTCTACTGAAAGCTGATAACCGAAATTTTTCGCGAGCCCATATTTATGCAATACATAAGACAAGTATTGAAAACTGGCGAAAACTTGTTCAGAGGGAACGGAATCCCAGGCGAACTATGATTTCCAGGTGAGATATGAGGCAGAATATGTATATGTTTTACATCAGAATGTGATTATTTATAAGAATAACTATAGAATTTTTCAAAAATATTTGGAATAAAATTAATTTACTAAAAATCAGAATTATAAACTGCTTGGAATATACAGAATTACAAGACTTTTTAACTGATAGTTCTAATTCTGAAGTGCTTCAAATCACGTAAACTGAGCATGTGTAAAAAGGCTCAGTTTCTTATAAAAGCACATTGTTTTAAATGTTTCGAAAGAGAAGCATGAAACAATCGTCAATATTGTTATTATTCTTTCAGAAATTATCTGAGATATTAGGGACTGAAAGAATCAACAATCATTCGCAGGTCGGAATAATCAATCCGCTATGAAAAAATCTCATGTGTACACCACATGACTTCCTTGTAAAGAATATTAAATTGTACGCATTTTTTCTTGCATTTCACTTAAACTTATTAGATTGAATTAAACCTACTTCTCCGACAGCGCATAAACCACAATAGAATAAATGCATTCTTTAAAATTCACTTTGTTTACCATAGCGACACTCTGGCACGAGAATTACTTAACAGTATTATATTTCGTTCATATTATAACTCAGAATGCACAAAATTTATATCATTTAAAGAATTATCTAATCGTTGCCACATGTTCTATTCAAATACTATAATAAAGCTAGAACTATGTATAAAAAAAATTAAACAAACAAAACACAAGAGTTTTTCACAGACGATTGAGTATTTCTCATTCAATTAATTCAGTTTTCACTTCGCGACAAAAATACATAAAAACTCAAAATATCTGTATTAAAAATTACGAAGTAAATCTTAAACGCTTATTTCCTAGAAAAAATTCCAGAAAGGATTAAGCATGATTAATACATAAAATAATAAATGAAGGCGTTATCTTTGTTGTTTGGAAGTTAAGTTTCTCTAGATTGGCAACAAATCCACTAGTCTCCTGTTTCAAATGTAAACATCAATGGCCGCCATTAAAAAAGGCTTAACGGCAATTAAACAACTTTAAAATTGTTGATAATTCTAAAAATATCGCACACAGATTTACTAAAGGCATAAAATCCTTAACCGGAAGATAAAAACAACATAATTCAATCATTTTTAAAGCAAAAAATGTACAATTTACAAACATATAAGAGTAAAGAAACTGAGATCACTGAGCCGGGTAACAGAGTGGATATATTTATGAATATATTTATATACGTTTGGCGCGGCCGATTGAAACCGAAATACGAGGTGCACATCTACATGTTATAGTAGTCTTATATACAAAATTTCAACGTTCTGAGGCTACTCGTTTTTGAGTTACGCGAGATACGTTCGTACGCACGTACGTACATACGTTCGTACAGACGCCACGAAAAATTCTCTTCAGAATTCATTTTAAGGCAGTTTTTTAGTTTTTTTTTGGAGGAAAAGAGTCTTTTATTCTGTCCTTACGTGCAGATATCACGCAAAAACATCGTTAAATTGCATTCGAAAGCGGTCAAAGTGGATATTTTCGTTGAAATATGCTGCCTGAAGCTTTTCGCGATTACAATACTTCTTTTTTACTTCGTACAAGGAAGTAAAAAGACAGCGAATCAATCGAAGAAAATCCCTTCCCAGACACTTCCTAAACGCTTTGAACTTTAAATGATTATTAAAACATACGTATTTTACATATTATATAATCAAGCCACTGAAAACAGGCATTTCTTAATCACTTCTGTAATTAGTTCATTAAATATTTAATCCAAAATAACATACCATTTCAAATTCGCTTTAGGCTAATCTTTTTACAGCATGCGGATGAAAGATAAATATTAAATAAACATTCTTTTCACCATATCATCATATTTCAGTGAAAAGACCACCCAAACTGGGAAGAGAAAAAAAAAAAAAAAAAAAAAAGGAGGGATCGCTTACGATCAGTGTAAATTGATCCTAAGTTAGGAAACAGCGGCAACAGAGGTAACCGATGCGGAACCAAACGAGGAAAAAGTAAATCTCCCCTACTTGTTTTCCATGGAGCATGTTGTTTTCCGAAGAGGAAAGTCAATTACTGAAATTATCTGCACTTTTGGCACCACACAAAACGTGCCGACAGCGGGTTAATATTCATCCGAGAGTCAAAAGCACAGGGTCCTCGATATGCGAAGGTAGGGTGTTTCATCGCCAGCGTCATCTATTCTGAATCGGTGGACCAAAGAAATGTATGAAATTTTAGGCACGTATGAGTTTTATGATGTGCAGTATGAATAAGTGAACAGAGGAGCCTTTCGAGCCAAAAAAGCTCGTTAATTCCAATTAGTGTGCTCTTTTTGAGCGTTATATGAGGACTCCTGGGGAGTTTTCTCGATGTTCTCCCTAATAACGCTACAAATGAGGGGAGGGGGATGAAAAACTTTTAATTTTACACTAAAGCATAAATTTTTATTCCGATGTATAATTTTCTCTCCATAATTTAAATACATATCTAAACTTCGATGCTAAACGATCATTTATGGCCAACTTTTGAAAACCATAAGACTAAGAGTTTACGGCGCGCCTTCAACTTCATACGCCTCTCTAACATGAAACGAAATTTAATCCTTACAGTATTATAAATCTCTACGCTAATCTGCCACAACCTTAAATTTGTGACTTGGAAATTTTTATGTGACTGCATGTACATCATTTCCAACAATTCTACTTCCTGCTGTTTTACTATCTAATAAAAATTCGTATCAAGATATAACTCTTCCTGGAGAAAAAGGAGATTTGTATACTTACTATGTTTTAAAATATAAAATAAACGCACAAAGGTGGCATTACTTTTATTAATAATTATTTTCAAGAGACATTTAATAATAATAAATCTCTCTTATGTCACAATAACGTTCCCTTCCGATAAGCAGAGCAAGAACTAAAAGCAGAGCAAGAACAACTTAGTTTTGAAATCTTTGAAAAAAAAAACTATTCTTCATATTTTTTAAAACAGAATATAAAATACTTGCCCGTAACAAG